CCGCATGGGCACCGGCTCCTTCGCCGTAATTGATTTCACAGGGGTCGGGGAGGGAGAGAAAGAGCTGCGGGAGGTGATGGATGTGCGGAAGGGTGAATAATCACCCGGGGCTGGGGGAGCCCCCAGCCCAACGAATTAAACGAATTACAGAGGGAGGAAGGGAAGGAGTCGGGGTGCACCCTTCTGCTGATGGGGTGCGGGTGCGTTTGTCACCGTGCACCTGCCTGCGGCAGAGTTGCTCTCTCTCATTTTAGGAAAATGGGAGGATTTTACAGGTTCCAGAAGTGCTGCTGGAAGCGCAGGTTTTGGAGCGAGCCCGGTGCGTTTTGCTGGGACCCTGCCAAGGTCCCAGACACGCCACTTTTGTCCCCGGTCCCTGCAGGAGGGCTTGTATTTCGCAGCAGTGTCCCGGCCAGCAGCTGCGAGGCTGGGAGGCAGCTTGTGATGCTGAGCTCCCGGGAGCCCCGAGCTGTAGAGGAGCTCAGTGGCTAAGGGGAGAAAGCCATCAAGGCAGAAGAAAATGGGAATGGAGGGTGGAGGTCAGGCCCTGGCGGGGCTGCCCTTCTCGCCTAGCAGGAGGCAGATGCACCCAATCAATGAGAGAACCTGAGAAAGGATCCCCAGGCCTTCGTGGGTAGGGAGAGGGGAGCCTTGTGCAGCACAGGGAGGGCCCTCGTCTCCGTTGCCGTCTCCCTGCACAGATGTACCAAGCTCCCAACCCTCAGCTGGGGCAGGATTGAACCACTGCTTTGGAAATGAGTCTGTCCCAGCAGCTGCTCAGGGCAGATGAACGGGGGACAAAAAGTTGCTCTCTCTCATTTTAGGAAAATGGGAGGATTTTACAGGTTCCAGAAGTGCTGCTGGAAGCGCAGGTTTTGGAGCGAGCCCGGTGCGTTTTGCTGGGACCCTGCCAAGGTCCCAGACACGCCACTTTTGTCCCCGGTCCCTGCAGGAGGGCTTGTATTTCGCAGCAGTGTCCCGGCCAGCAGCTGCGAGGCTGGGAGGCAGCTTGTGATGCTGAGCTCCCGGGAGCCCCGAGCTGTAGAGGAGCTCAGTGGCTAAGGGGAGAAAGCCATCAAGGCAGAAGAAAATGGGAATGGAGGGTGGAGGTCAGGCCCTGGCGGGGCTGCCCTTCTCGCCTAGCAGGAGGCAGATGCACCCAATCAATGAGAGAACCTGAGAAAGGATCCCCAGGCCTTCGTGGGTAGGGAGAGGGGAGCCTTGTGCAGCACAGGGAGGGCCCTCGTCTCCGTTGCCGTCTCCCTGCACAGATGTACCAAGCTCCCAACCCTCATCTGGGGCAGGATTGAACCACTGCTTTGGAAATGAGTCTGTCCCAGCAGCTGCTCAGGGCAGATGAACGGGGGACAAAAGTTTCACGGCAGGAGGGATATGTAAGTGTCTATGGGTGCTTGAAGGGGGTGAGACTCTCTGAAGTAGAGACCAAGGGCATTGGGCTCCTCAATGCACTGATTTTGCAGCAACTTAGTGCATGTGTCAGGTTCTGCATTGGAGGCTTTCTTCCACCTCTGAAAAGGGCTGATCCAGCTTCTTGATGTTTCCTGCAGAAAAGGATTTCTCTGGCCAGAAAAGAAATGCCATTGCCCTAAATAGCTCTTTGGGCAAACATCTGAGAATACCTGTCTTTCTGGGCTCTGCTTAGAGTATGATGTCTGAATTATTTTTTGCAGGGCTTGATATCCAGAGCCCTAGCAAAGATGGAAAAATCCAGCCCTTAGCAGGTAGGAGGATCCTGGCTGGGGATCTACCTCCAGGCACCAGCCAGACAGAACTGGCTGGACTGGGGTACCTCTGCCCAGCACTCCAGGGATCCATTTGTAGGATTATTGGATGCACCTCGAAGTAGATGCTGACCTTGTAAACTCTCCCATCAGAATGTGAACCTGAAAGCACCAAGATTTGCCCTGATGTGTCCTGGTGTGTGAACTTGCAGCACTGCATGTCCTTAGAGAACTAAAGTCCTCTTTAGCCCCAGAATTAGGGAGATGCCAAGGTGATAAATGAGTTGCCAGCTCTCATGAGACAGGCCATTTCCAGAGCCTCATGCCCTACAGCATTGCTTGAACCCCAGCCACAGAGAGTCCAAGGGGAAACTGAGGCCAGGAGTGATTTGAACCGGAGCATCTGAACCAGGTGTTGTCCTGGAGCTTAGCCATGCAGTCCCCAAACTTCCAATGCCAGGAGGTGCGTGGCTTTTCCAAGGCTGCAGGCGAGGTCTGTGGCTTGTGCAGGGATAAAATCCTGGGGCTGTATATCATCCCCAAACCCACCAACAATTCCCATTGACTTCCAGGAGTCTTGAATCCCAGTTGGGACCTAGCCCTGCTTTGTCCTCACTGGGTGCTGGGCAGAAAAGACCTGACTTACCTTTAGTCCTTCTCTGGGCAGGTTTTACTGCCCCAAAGTCCCTACCTTGGGCTCAGCAGCTGGGGGCTGTGACCCTCATTAGCCAGCCTGGCTCACTGGTGGTGACCTTGTGATTTCTTGGGGCCAGTCCCTCTGGGGCCCTCAGCATCTGCTCAGCTTGGGGGACCTCTGGTGCAGGGAAGGCTGAAGGCTTTGCCTGGCATCGACTGGGGCCTCTGGGATGCGCAAGCAGCATCAGATGGCTGTGTTATTTATTGGAGAGAAGGCACCTCCCCGATCTTGGCAGCGGAGCTGGGTCCTTCTGGATGTCAGAACTCGCTGTCAGGGTGCCTGTGGCACTGTGTGGGGCCGGCAAGGTGTGCTCTGTGGAGTCAACCTGACATGTTCAGGTCTCGTAAGCAGGCTCTGCCCCACATTCCTCATGTGGGAAGGGGTTGAAGGAGAGGCCCAGGCTGGTCCTGGAGAAGGGCAAAGGCAGCCGCAGCCCTTCCCAGGGGGACGAGAAGAACCCCTGCCCGAGGGCACCCCCCCAGCCCCAGCTGGCCCCAGCCCTCTCTCCCTCCCTCTCCTCCCAGCTCCTCCTAACCACAAGGACTTTGGTTGATGGAGCTGGCGCCAGCGAGTTCCCTGAAGAGTTCAGAAGTCAAGAACTGAGGCAGGTATGGGGAGGGGGGGAAACCTGACCCCGGCAGGCAGGGCTGGGAGGCGGGGGGGCGGCAGAGTGGGCTGGCCGGGCATTGGGCATCAGCTGGGCATGCGGCCAAGGGGTGGCCATGAGCTGCTGCTGCCCACTGTGCCCCCACAGCCTCCCCCATGTGAGGCCATGGTGGTGGGGACGGTGATAGTGGTGGGTCCCCAGTGGGGGTCTTGGGGGGTCGCAGCAGGGTTGCGGCTGGGGTGAGGGTTGCAGGAACCTACAAGCGCTGGTGTGTCAGTGTGTGTGTGTCTGCAGGTGTGTGTATGCATGTTGTGGGTGTGAATGTGTGTGTGTGTGAATGCATACAGTTGTGAAGGTGCGAGTGAAAATACGTGTGTGTGTGTGAATTTATACAGGTGCGGAGAGGGTTCTAAGTGTCTGGGAGAATGGAGGGGGTGTGAACAAGTGTGCACAAGCGTAGGTGTGTGTGCATGTGTGGGACTACATGGCAGCATGGGTGCCTGTGAGCTCGTGAGGGTGTTTGTGAGCATGTGTGCATCTTTGCAAGGGTGAGGCCGTGTAAGTGGGGTTGTGTGTGAGGATGTGGACAGGATGATATGTGTGGCAGTGAGTGAGGAGGTGTACCTGAGTGCATGGGCATGACTTTCTGTGCCCGTGCATTTGTATTGCATGGGGGACACCCCAGAGTGGGCTGTCTTGTGGGACCCTCCACGGCCGGAGCGGTGGGCAGCGCTGGGCAGAGCCGGTGGGCAGCAACGGGGAATGATGGGGCAGGAGCTGGCCGTGCCCCCGCCTCACCCCCGGCTCCTGCCCTCCCTCTCCCCTGCTGACTGCGCAGAGCGGGAGCACCGACGGGCCAGGGCTGGAACAAGTTTTGCAGCAAATTACAGCAGCGGTTTTCAATTTTTTCATTTTTTTTCTTCTTTATTTTTTTTTTTTAACGACAAACACTCATCTCCCCGCGGGCAGGCGCAGGAGGGGGCGGTGGCGGGTGCCCTGTTCAGCGGTCACCCCACCGCGGTCTGCGCCGCT